TCTCTCTCTCTCTCTCTCTCTCTCTCTAACTCTCCCCCCTCTCTCTCCCATGACCATTGAGTACTCTGAGCTGTCAAACATTGGATATCTTAACTGATTTTGTTTTGGCACATCCTCTTTTATCCTACAGGTCTGAGCGAAATGCAGGGCATGCCAGATATTGAGCAAGTTCGCAATTCTTCCCTAAAAGCTTCCTGAATGTTTCAGAACGTTGTTCAAACTCTGATTCTGACACTGGAAGTCATCCTGTTGCACGTATCTTATAAATTAAGGAGGCTGAAATATTGGTTTCATTGACTGAAAATGGCACAACACAAAATTTACCGGCAGGGTTATTAAATGCTTTTTGTACCTAGCCAAAAAGGTTGACAAAACTGGATTAATGACATACTAGGTCTACTCTGCATGAACAGATTTTGCTACAGCTTGGTTGTACCAGGAAGTTAGAAGCGAGATAATGTTTTTATCAAATGATGAGTTATCGTTTACTTGATGGTTTCAAACAAAAAATAAAACTCTAAACAGTCTGTGAGTGATTATTACTAATTTTCTTTTTAAATACAATTCGATACAATGTTTTCTTTTAACGACAATACAATTGGAAGAGCTTTTAAGAGAGTCCTTACTGAATTCTGAGGTGGTGTATCACAATTCCACTGTCACAGATATCAGTTTCATAACGAAACACAAATCCTTAAATGTCCATTTTGTGGAACAGTTTTTGAGAGCAAATTTCACATCATGTTTGTTTTTACCGTTTGTGAGGATTTAAGCATGAAGAATATTCCTTTAAAGTTTTTAACAAAAAGAAATGCCCACACCTTCTTTATGATACTGTGTGATAATGACTTTTCCAAAACAGATGGTTACTTTCTTTATACTGTGTTTCTAGACAGGAAGAGCATCTGGAATAAGAGAAACCTTAAAGCTTAAAGTGTTGTATAAATTGCTGCTTCATACCCATGTATGGACAGCGTTTTTGCATTTTGTGCCTTATACATTTTTTGTAAAGGGCAAGTATCCCCCAAATAAAGTTCAGATCAATTAAATTCAATTCTCTCTCTCTCTCTCTCCCCC